TGTTTCTTGTACGTAGGGGAAAATTTACGTATATTTAATTTATAATTAATTTATTAACAAATTGTTAATAAACACCCGTCATATTGATATTAGAATCATCTCATTAAAGGTAAAATACTCCTTTGTATTAATAATTTAAGAAATTTAGTAAGTTCATATTTTATTCCTGAAATGTTATATAAATTAGGTTTATAATTTTCTATTTATTTTCGTTATTTTAAAACAAACTCCCCCCATTAAAGATTCTATTAAGTATTAAAAAAAGTAAATATTAAAAATAATAGTTGGGCCCTCTTAAAATCTCGCTATATGCTGGAACTTCCTTAGAGTCTTGAGTACCAATTATAAGACAATTGGTTAAAATCTTAATGAATAATATATGGAGAATCAGCAGGAAATCCTTAATAAGCTTTTTAAATTATACAAATTGAGGAATCCTCAGAGACTATATGCGATAACCCAAATTTTTAAGATTTGGGTATAATATAGCCCGATCCATTATGAAAATAATGGTTAACAAAATTTGCCAACTCCAGTTTCAGCTTTAATACATAGTGCGACAATGGTAACGGCCGGTATCTTCTTAATGATAAGAACTTCTCCATTATTAGAATATAGTAGTACAGCATTAATTGTAATCACTTGTTTAGGTTCATTATCAGCATTTGTTTTTGCTTCTATTGGATTAGTACAAAATGATCTTAAACGTATAATTGCTTATTCAACAGCAAGTCAATTAGGATACTTAGGTGCAGTATGTGGTTTAAGCCAATATAACATAGCTTTTTATCATATTATTAACCATGCTTTCTTCAAAGCGCTTCTTTTTCTTGCAGCAGGTTCAGTAATTCATGCTATGGCAGATGAACAAGATGTTAGAAAAATGGGAGGTTTAGCTAAATTATTACCATTTACTTTTGTAGTAATGTTTATTGCTGCTTTAAGTAATATAGCTTTCCCATTCTTATCTGGTTTCTATTCTAAAGAAATCATAATCTTATCAGGTTATGGACAATACTGTTTTCAAGGATCATTCGCATATTGGTTAACGAGCTTGGCGGCTTTTTTCACTTCTATTTATACTACTAGATTATTGTATTTAACCTTTTTTTCTATTCCTAATGGTACTAGAAATAATTATGAAAATACACACGAAGCTCCTTTCTTTATGGCAATACCATTAGGAATACTGGCTGTATTATCAGTAGTTTTTGGTTATTTATCTAAAGACTTATTTATTGGAATGGGTTCGGATTTTTTTGCGAATGCAATATTTATCCATCCTAACCATATTATCTTAATAGATGCAGAATTTGCTATACCTTTATTTATTAAGTTATTACCATCAATTTTCACTATTTGTGGGTTCTTAGGTACATTATTATTTTATGAATTTATGCCAAATATCCTTGTTGAGATTAAATTATCTAATCTTGGTAGAACTTTATACACTTTTCTTAACCAAAAATACTTTTTTGATTTAGTTTATACTCGTTTAGTGGTTTTAATTTTAAATCTTGGATACTTTACTCATAAAATAATAGATAGAGGTGCTCTAGAATTAGTTGGACCTACTGGTTTAACAAATCTTTTCTCTAGTACTAGCAAAAATTTAGCTTCTGTGGATAACGGTTACATTCCTAATTACGCCTTGTATATTATTTTATCTGTTATAACTCTAACAACTTCAATACTTTACTTGGACGATGCTAGATTACTATTGGTGTTTGTTTCAACTTTATTTTGTTTAAATTCTCGTTATTTTAAAACAAACTCCCCCCTCTGTCTCTTTAAAGAAATCCCATTATAATTTTTCGAGCCCCTCTGCAATCATGATATAGTGCTTCCCTATCTCTTATTTTAAGAATATAACTTCCATAGGAGAGGGGAAAAGTTTGAATATTTGCCGAATATTAGTTTTAGAATATTTCTTCCATTCCCTTGTATCGAATCGCTTGTTATTCTCAGGTCTTTCCCGCCTGTTAGTCAGTTATCATCCTGCTCTTCGTTGTCGAGCTCTTTTCTTTTCAGCAAGGAGAGGAGAATCCAACTGTCTTTAAGGCAAGAAGAGAACTGAATTATAGTTACTATCACCGGAAAAATAGGTTAGTCACCGATTAAAACAAGAAATCGGAAATTAAAATATAATGTCCGAACTAATTAAAATAGGTGACTATATCCGAGTACGACAGGTCTAGCCACTACTCAATTCACTAAAGAAAGTTCGATCTTCATCTGCGAGAGAAAATTCAATTTCATCTACGAGATCGGGGTATAAGTGAAGCCCCGAATATATAAGCTATCATAACGTCTCTAAGACATTACTAAGCTTTAAAAAATTAAGAATCTCTGCTTTTAGTTTATCAGAACGGTGTGAGCCGCTAAGGGAGTGCAATCTCCTGCGTGGTTCAGTCTCTGAGCTACGAGAGAGTAACCTTTAATCGAAAAGGCTAAAGTAAGCTCGAAGAGCACGCGAAAAAGGGGGGTGTTTATTACTATTATTATTTCTATTATTATTAATTTGATTAAATCTTTGTGATTGATGTTGACCTACTTTGTTTGGCCCGATACGTCTCTGCATCGAAATAGGGCCTGGCTCTTCAGTGTGTGGAGGGGGGTGTATACGCCAAGGCTCTTGGCACTACACACAATTAATCTAAAGAACAGAAAAATAAATGGGACAAAGCAAATAAATAAATAGGGCAAAACAAACAAAATAATGGGGCAAATAAATTAGGAAGTCTTATTAAAATTCTAATTTAACTACACAATATCAATTATTTAATAATATTAAACTCCAATTTTATACATCATCGACTCATGAAAATAAGGGGTTACTAGAATTCTAAGTTTGTCCATAGAATCTGCCTTTATATAGATTCTATAACTATCCTTACTTTTATTGTGTATTGTACTATTTAGGTCAAAGTTTTCTTTTAAAACCTTAACCAATAACTGAACTTCACTCAAAGTATAAGAATCTGTACAAAATGTAAACCCAGAAGATCCTTTATAACCGTCATCCATTGCCCAATAAGCTAAACCAACAGGTGTCAATAGTTCACCTATATTTAAAGGAATAATCTTAATACCGTTAACATAGAATAATTCATGATAGTAATTGAAACAAGGTAAAGAATAAGTTCTAAATCGAATTCTAGAATAAACTTTACCAGTACGTTTATCTGATTTAAGATCTAGGTATTTAGGTGAAGAATTACAAAAATCCTTAAACAGCTCATATAAATGCAAAATATAAGCTTCATGGATTATACTTTGCGCAAACTGTAATCTTGCAAAATTAACACTAGCAGATTTACAAACAAAAGTGTCGCCAATTCCCGTACCGATAATTATCTCATGTAAATTAGGAGTAACAGAAAAAGAACCTCTTTGAACTTTAGTTAATCTAGTACTATAAGATCGCCGATTCACAAGAAATAATGGATTACATAAGGGGGGGAGTTTATTATTATTATTATTGTTATTTAAAGTTCCAAGAAAAAGACTAATTAAATTATGTTGACCTACTTTGTTTGGCCCTATACGTCTCTGCATAGAACCCATGATTTTCCGCTCCGCAATCGTAACGTATGCTATTGAACCTAATAAAGGTCCTATTACAATTAATGCTTCTAATAATGAATTTATCATATTATTAATTATTAATTCTTTATCTCTGTTTAAGTTCCTTTTACCCCTAGTATTCTAGGAACTATATTTTTTAGAGACCTTACTTATCATCACTTTCAGATCCTGGGTTAAGAAGATAACAAACCAAAATTTAACTAACCAGGATTTATGCAGTAACCTTTAATCGAAAAAGGAATTTCGCTTTGGAAGAGCACTGGTTTACCATTAACCTATAACTGCTCATTTATTTTAAATAAATAATAATTTATATACCGCCTAGTAATCTAGTAAAAATACATTAACGAGGTCCATTATAAATATTAATTTTAATTATCTTCCGTGATAAGACAATTTTTTTGATTCTTCTTTAGATAAGTTAGTAATATCAACATATTCTAATATAATTAAGCCACCGAACGTAGAATATATGATTTGTTAAGTTAATTTTTATACAAAACATTATAAAGATTAATTTCTCTATTTAATAATATTTAAATTTAGATTTATCTAAACTATCCATTATAAATCGATGAAGAGGAGTAAAATAATTTTACCAATTTCAAATATAATAAAGTGATTAAATATATTTTTGACTTCAACTGGAATTGAACCAGTAATTCAACTGTGAAGGAGTTGCGTCTTTCCATTTGACCATGAAGCCTTTTTCTTTATTCAAGTAAACTAGCCTGTGGGGTGTTTAGAAATAAAATACAAATATCTCTAAACTAATTATAATTGATAATAGTATATTAAAGCCCCCTACCTTTATGACTAGAAGATAGTCGCTATTTCTTAGCGGATGAACTTAAGATCCACTTGGAATAATTTACCACTTTTAATGTATCTTGATATTGTCATTATGCTACATTTAAAATGTTTCGCTGCTTCTGAATAAGATACAAATTTACGCTCAACAATCGTCGGAGTAGAACTTAATATACAAATACTTTATTCATGGATTTCGAAATTTTTGCTTTATGTTCCTCTGTTTTTACTACTCCTTTTCTCATAAGACTCATTGAAGCCTTAGTCTCAGCCGATAAAGTTTTACCTATTCGAGCTTCACTAATTAAAGCCTTAGTCTCAGCTGAATGAGTTTTACCATAAAAAGGATTATTTTGACCTGTTCTCCCAAACATATGATTATTTTCTCCACTCATTCTAGCAATTGTTTCCTCAGAATGCTTAAACCCTAACAAAGAACCCGCTGTTTTAAGTATATTATATTCAGGAAAACACAATCAATAAAAATTGTTAAATCGGGTAATTTTTGATTATCTTTAAGAGCAGAAAGACCATAATGTGAAAAGGTTAATATTTAAATTACTTTTCGTCAATCTATCGATAGATATATTAATATAATTTGCGTCAGTTTAATTTAATTGGTAAAATACATGATTTGTAATCATTAATTGTTAGTTCGAGTCTGACATCTGGCAATAAATATTATGGAAGACAATACTGTCATCCGTCCTAGCTAACCCAATTACTTTCTATAATTGGGAATAACGACAATTTGACTAGGAAAATATTTTATATGGACACAATTAGGATTAATGAGGAAATACATTATAACAATGGGTAGTAAACATCCTATCAGCTTAAGACTTAAAACAAACCAAAATTGGGAAAATACATCTTATCATTTCAACTCTAAAAATTCACTTTATCAATATTGGGGATTGGATAAAATAGCTTTAAATGTTATTAAACATTATTTTCAATTTGCTTTAATTTCAAAACCTAAATTTAATAAAGATTCCAACAAGGTTGTTATTAGTTTTTATTATTTTTTAAATTTACCAGTATCAAAACGATTAAATTTTGATCAATCTAAATCCCTAAGGGGCCGAATTCAATCATCTTTACAAGAAGGTTCAATAAATTATGAAGCCAAAAGGTATTCTAGTTTAATATTTAAATTGTCTAATTTATATAGTAAACCTGTAGAATTAAGACCTGTAAGAGTTCATTATCCTTATTTAAATTCTTACATTTTAGCACAATATATAGCACACAATATACAAGCAGGGAATTATAATAAATTAATACAAAAATTATTAAAAAAAGCAAAATTAATTGAAAGTAATAATTCTACTTCTACTAATTTCAGAGATTTAATAAAATATTCTTCTGTCTTAAATGAGCCTCAATATTTAACAGGTATTAAAATCAAAATATCTGGTCGACTATCTCAACGTAAGGCTGCTAGCAGAACTACAATAAGCCAAAGCTCTGTTGGAACTCTTAATTTAGGTAGCAATACTATAATTGATGCTAGCAAGTGTAGTTTTACAGGTAAGAATGGTAGTATTACAGTGAAAGTTTGGTTAAATTCATCTTTTGCTAATTCGTTGGTTAATAAGCCTACCTGCTATACACAACAAACTCGTTCATATACAACAAATGTAATGAACACCCCCCTTGTTAGTGAGGGTTCTAATTATGGAATTAATGGTTATAAAAAAGAAAAAGATCGATTTGACAATATTAAAAATAATAAAGATGAAATTAGAAATTATATTTTAATAAGTGACTATGTCCGTTGTGTATAGTAATGATGAAATTATTTTTTATTACTTTAGTTTTATCGATACCAATAGCTTCTCTTTATTTATCACCAATCTCTAACAGGTTTGCTTTTTTAGTATCTCTATCATTGTGCTATATACCAGAGATATTAGGAGGGTTATTCCAATCATCTATATTATATCAAATCCCAATATCTTGGGTGCTCGATTACACTTCAGGAGTGGAATTTGAGTTATTCTTCTCAATATTTGTTCCTATAATGATTTACTCTAATGCTGATTCTGATAAACTTAAAATTTTAGCTGATAATAAGGGTAAAGCTGGAATTTACCAGTGGACTCACATAGAATCAGGTAGAATTTATATAGGAAGTGCCTATAATTTATCTTTACGGTTAAAATGTTATTTTAGTAAAAAATATCTACAGCGCGATAAAAACTTGTATATTTGTAATTCTCTTCTTCATCATGGTTATTCTTCATTTAGTCTAACGATTTTGGAGTATATTGATATTACTGGCTTATCTAAAGAACAAGCACGGGAATTAATACTTGGACGGGAACAACTTTGTTTGGACACTTTAAATCCTGGTTATAATGTACTAAAAATAGCTGGGAGTACTTTAGGTTATATACATTCAGAGGAAACTAAAGATAAAATCAGTAAATCTCTTAAGGAACTCGCAAAACCTATTTCTGAAGAGACTAAAGTTTTAATCAGTGCTTCACAAGGAACTGCTATTTTTGTTTATGATTTAGATGGTTCACTTGTAAATAGTTTCACTTCTGCTCGAAGATCGGCATTACATTTTAAATGCTCACAAAATACAATCTTGAAATATGCCCAAAATGGTAAAATATTTAAAGAAAATTGGATATTATCATCATCCTTAATAACTAAAGACTTATATTAGGGTAAAAATAGTATTAGGAAGTCAGTAAAATGCTTCAGGTGATAATTTTTCTAGTTCAAAGTGAACACCCCCGGGAGCACTACTAACCAGAAATTATTTAAATAAAAATAATTCATATTTTCAAAGTATTCGATATTATTCTACTAATAATTCTATTAATAATAATGGGGATTTTGTACCAATAATTGTATATACCAATAATTGTATATACCATTAATTATATATTCAATCTTATTAGGATTATTTAATAAAAGCAAATTAACCTGTATTGTTCAAGTCTGCCCCGTGAACGGGGCGGACCTCCGAAGGAAGTCTATTTTAAAAATTATTTTTGTTATAGTTCCTTACCTTTCTGTCTTAGCAATAGAATAGGTTTTAGGAAATTAAACTATAGGTAAAATATAAGAATAAACTTATTCAAATCGACCCCTATTTATATAAATTAATAAATAAATGGGAACTTAAAATATTTATCAAATGGTGTGAGTTCGCTTGACTCGAGTTTGAGAAATATATAAGGCGATTATAGTTCAAAGGTAGAACAGTAGATTGTGGATCTATTTATCAAGGTTCGATTCCTTGTATTCGCCCAAATAATTTAAGAATATTTTTTTATTTTCAATAAAGGTTCAAGTGAACTATAAATCAAGGTTCGAGTGTTCTCCAGTGAGGGCCTGCCTACACAAGTCGAGGATAGGAGAAATTTATATGAGTTTTTAAATTCAAAAATTGTACCATTAGTGACATGAGGGGGTGTTTAGATTTCTCTAAACAAAAAATTATCGCCTGGCAAATTGCCATATAGTATATAACCCTACTATTATTCCTTAGTAATAAAAGAAAAAGATAATTTCCATTTATCTTTATATAATTTGCCATTTATTACATACCTCATTATTAATTGATGGTTAGTATTAAATTCTTTAGCAGCTTCTCTAGCAGAAGTAAAAGTATTAAGAAGTGTCCCTTGAATATCATAAACATAAATAACTGTTCCTCTAGCTGAACTCATTTTAGCCTTAGCTTCAGCAGAATGACTAAAAGTTTTACCAAACCTAGGGTTATTCTCACCTGTTTTATCAATACTTTTCTGAGCTTCTCTCATATTAGTAACAGATTTTTCAGTATGTCGATAACCTAGCGATGAACCTGCAACCTTAAGTATATTAAATTCAGGTTTAAGCTGATCAATATAAAATTGCTCTCGTAATATTAACTTATCTCGCTCACAAAATTCAAAAATTATAAATAAAAAATCCTGTAAATTATATTTATTTATAGCATTTTGTAATAAAATATTAGATCTAGATCCTCTTATATGCTTACTAAATCGATCAGATAAATTTATAGAAGAACCGATATATAATTTACAGGTTGTTTTGCAAAGAAATCCATAAATACCAGATTTACCTTTAAAATCCTCTTTAATAATTTGTTGTATTACTGCTAAATGTAAGGAACCTGAAAAAACTTCTATAGAAAAAGGTTGAAGTCGTTTAATGGCTGAATAAAATGGTTGTAAATGTATCATTGTTTTATTAATTTTAGAATCCCCCTTCTTACAAAAAGTGGGGTTATTTGATGAATAGATTAAATTAATCTATTTTCAAAAAAGGTATAAATCCTAGCCTAATATATTTAATTCTTTGCCTTTTGCTTCCAGTATATTGGCTTCGCAATTAAGAGATATTCATTTTTTCCCATATAGAATTAATATAATTCGGAGTTTGCCCACTCTTTATAGTTGAGAAAAAAATATAATTCCTTGCACAGAATTGTCATATTAGGTCTTATACATTGATAGTGGTATGATCATTTTTAAAGAAAAATAATCTATATTAATAAATTTACTTTGGTATTGTCACAAACTTTACCCGAAGGGGCCGGTTTATTATTACAATAAAAGATCCATTAATAGTAAATTGCTTATTAATACCTGGTCAAATGTTATTATTATAAGATTTATATAATAAATATATTCTATGTTCTATATACAATTAAGTATATATTGCAAAATGCAGAGATTCGAACTCTGATAAGATAAAAAGCTTATCTACTTTACCAACTTAAGTTACATTCCGTAGGGGTGTAGAATTATTTATTAATAGACTTGAACAATATAAGTACTAATGCCTTAATCTAGATGATCCTAATAAGATTGAATATATAATTAATGATTATTTATATATAAAAGTTATTTAATCGGGCAATTTATCCGATTATCTTCAGAAGGCCATTATGTGAAAGAATTAGAATGATTATGTTTTCGCCCTAATCCTGAAGAAGTCAAAAAATTCTCCCAAAAAGGTTTTCGATTTAAAAAATATTAGTTTTTAAATCTTAGTTTTTAACTTCTCATAAATTGGGTATGTTATAAAGAATATTAGAAAAATACATTTCTTGTAAGTTAATTAAGAGGTTTTGGCTTTGATTTCAAAAGAAAGAGCGTGGTATCGAAAGAATCGTGATTTCGATCCCACGGGTGGGGTGTTATGAGGGGTGTTGAGAGGAGGGTCTAAATAGAGAGCCCGTCAGAGATCCTACAGCATTATAATTAATATAATAATAATGTGGATTAGTGTAATGGTTAACACATAAGACTCATGATCTTGTATTGATAGTTCAATTCTATCATCCGCGCTAAAAGAAATATCCATATTTTAATAATGCTGAATGTATTATGCTGTTACCCTTAGTTGTATCTGAAATAATATCATAACGATAATATAATCTAATTCGATTAGATAGTACAGTTGAACTACCAATATAACAAGTCTCCTGTTATATTATTCCTCCATCTATAAACACCTACCTTTTTAGCATTGTTCTTTATTATACTATCTTTCATAATATCCGAGTTAGAATATATTTTAATCGGGACTGTGCTAGAAAATAACATAATAATATTAAGAGGTTCAGAAGAATATGGGCTGATAAACGAACAAATAGAAAATTCCGCCTACGGCGGAGACAAAATTTATTATTAAAAAAATA